ATCAAGGGTTAAGATCCCCTTACTGGTCATCTTTTTTTAAAAAAAATGAGGATTTCTGGGCCCCACCCAACCCATCGAATATGATCCTCTGGGACCAGGATCCCAGGAATCTGATTTTTGAAGTGGCCTGTCTTCTGCACTTTCAAATTTGAGATCCATTGTCTCAGCAATGGGGCAATCATCGAGAGGACCTCAGAGGAGCCCTGGGATCTTGGGGCTGGCTGCCACTGCATGACTCAGCATCCAAAACAGCTGAGCCATGGGAACTGCAAAATGGGTCAGATGAAAGCAAACCCCCATTTAATACTTTTAAGGCCCAAACTCAGAGCGCATGACAGTTTAATGAGGGTTGGGCCCGTGGTAACATTACAAGGTTGGTCAGGCTGGGGGAAGGGCAGAGCCTCTGGTTGTAGACTCTGCCCTTGCTGTGGTTGTGTCAGCTACGGCACAGAGAACTCCATCAGAGGGTGCAAGGCTAATGTGGGCTGGAAACCTTCCTGTCCCCAGACGCCCCATGGTCCTGGGCTTACTCCAGCTGTCAGCTACGGCACAGAGAACTCCATCAGAGGGTGCAAGGCTAATGTGGGCTGGAAACCTTTCTGTCCCCAGATGCCCCATGGTCCTGGGCTTACTCCAGCGTCCGCCCCTCCCTGCCGGCTCTCTGGAGCCTCAACTGCAACTGAGAGCTGACCTCAGGTCCCTAAAAAGCCAGAGGGCAGGGCTGGTGCAGTGGGGCCGGCCACCTAGTCTCTCCCACCAACAGCTGCTTTCAATCACCACGTGGCTCTCTGCTCCCCTCCCGTCATCTGCTCTGACCTCTGCAGCCTCCCTGGGCCTCCCCTCCCTGCTCTGGGGCCAGTCTCTCCCACCAACAGCTGCTTTCAATCACCACGTGGCTCTCTGCTCCCCTCCCGTCATCCGCTCTGCCCTCTGCAGCCTCCCTGGGCCTCCCCTCCCTGCTCTGGGGCCGATCTGATGTAGACAATTTCACTTACCATGTCAGATGCCTTCCCTTCGTGCTACATAACCCCCCACCCCTCCTCCACCTCCTGCCACTCCATGGCCCACTCTGGAGTCTAAGGGTGACCTTAACTCCAGGATTAGCTCAGAAAATGAAAGTCATAATCTTTGCCTTATAGTGTCATTGTGAGGGTCCTGTGAGATGGTGCAGCATGTGGCTGGGGCAGCACCTGGCATTCAGGAGATGCTCAATATATGGCAACTTCTCATGCCCTTTGAATCTGGGTTGGTTTGTTCAAGGCTCAGAAGGTGATGCTCTTAGACCTATACTAAAGGCTCAATCCTCAAAAGAATCAGTTAGCTTGATGTAAAAGAAACTTTAGTTCTCAGCCTCCAGTAGCGTCCCTAGTCCTCCATCTCCCCACAATAGTGGGCACAGAGGACCTGAGAGAAGGAGGGTGCAGAAGGCCCAGTCCAGCCACCCCCGATGCAGGAGGAGCAGCTTGGAGCCCATGGAGGCATCTTCAGAAGGAAAGACTGACAGTCCTCGGAAAGCCTTGGCTCGTGGCCTCACCAGGTCTCGGGCAGATGCGTGGGTGATTGCTGGTGCAGAGTTGACTTGCTGAGATTGCTTTCTCAGCACTGGTGGCTCGTGATGTTATTCCTTCCAGGCGGTGTCCCTGAGCTTGAGTAGGGCTCGGTGCATTCCCCTGGCACTGAAGATGAAGAACGGGGGTTTGAGCGTGCTGCGGTGGAGAACATTCTCTGTCTCGTCCTCATGCCCCCACCCCTTCCCTAGGGGGTGCCTTCCAGCCCGGCTGAGCTGCACAGTGTCCTCTCTGGAGACCTTGTCGGCCAATTTTTAATCTCTCCCAGTCTCTGGCAGGATCCTCATTTCTGCCCTTTAATGATCACACAGGGAGGTGCTGACTAGGTCTGCAGATGCCCACCTCTGGCCCAGCCTCCCCTTCCCAAGTTTGGGCCCCTCAACAACGATGGGGGAGCTCTGTGAATGAGCGAGCCTTCTCCATATGAGAACGTGTGTGTAAATTCCCTGGATTCGCAGCAGTGTCATGGCAGCACAGAGGCGAGGCGATCACAAAGGTCATGAGAGGTCATGCAGTCCAGCCAGCCCCTACGCACACACATCCTGGCAAATGTGGCCTTGGTCCTGGGAAGCTGCTTCAGAAGGAGGGTGGGGATGCTTCAAACACCTCCCTTTCCTTCTGGGGAAGGAGTAGAGGGAGCAGCAGGGTCTGACTCCTGGTCCCATGGCTGCCTGAGGCCAAAGACACCCACCCACCCACCCAGTGGCCTTAGGGAGCTTGAGCACCCCAGCCCTGGGAAGTTATCCCCTCTTCTCACTATCATCAGAGTCATTACTGAATCGGGGGAAATGAAGGAGGCAGGGCTTCTCTGTCAGTCCCATCACATCTCTGACCTTTTGGCCCCCCTGCAGATGTTCCAGTGGCTTTGACCGCTACCGCCAGGAGTGGCTGGCCTACGGCTGTGCCCAGGAGGTAAGAGGCATAAGTGATCTTCTGTAGCTCCTGTGCCAGGTAGTGGGGAACAGGAGGGCTGGCAGCAGACCTCCTCTGATAGCTCTTCTCAAGGCATCTTTAACCCTTGGTGAAATCCTCCCCTCCATTTGAAATTTGTTTTCCAGACTTATCTGAGCCAGTTAAATCAGCTTTGAAAGGTTTTAGAGGGCTCTGTGTGTCCCTGAGACAGGCACTTCTGGTGACTTGGCCTTGAGTGGGCAGCTCTCCAGGAACTCTTTTGGTCTGTGCAGAGGATGCGTTGGGCATGGCCTCAGCTACAGCTGGGTCCTCTGGGAGACCATGCACCTGGTGACATTAGGGAAGTGCCTGCCGAGGCTCCAGCCCTCTGGCTTTTGAGGGCGGCAGTCATTCTGAGAATGAGGAGGGTTGTTCCAGGTGCCGCCCATTTAGAATCCCATCTAGGTTCCTTCTCACTGTTAGAATTTTCCAAACACGCTACACTTTGATTCTGAGTGGGAAGCATCCTATCCTGACACCTTAGACTGACACAGACGGACCCATTCATTGTGTGTCCTTTTTTCCTCCTTTCCCTCTGTACCTCTCGCAAGGTCAGCACAGTGCACGTGCCATGCGCCTCACTGTGTGCAGCCCTACACTTGCTCTTATTTAACATGACCCCAAAAGCTGGGGGCCAGTGCCCCCTTTGGTCAGAGGGGAAACTGAGGCTCAGAGTTTAGTGACTTGGCCTGCATCTCACAGCAAGAAGGTGCTGGGCCCAGCATTTAAACGTCAACCCCCCAGACTCCATTGCCATGTGCTCACCACGGTCTGTTTTATTAGTCTGGTTCTGGGTGAGCTGCCTCTTTCTAACCTTAAAAAAAAAACCCAGTCTTCTCCAGCAGCCCACTCCTGACCTTGGCTGTTGGTGAATGTTTAGATTTGCTCTATTTATTTAAGATTGGCATCTCAGCTCCTTCCTTGAGGAAGGATTTGAAGCAGCTGACAGATAAATTGCCCTGTAAGATAAGATGCTTTCAGGATAAGATGGAAGGTTTAAATGCATTCAGGGCCCAGCTCTGTCCAGAGCAGCAGTGCCGGGGTCTCTGTTGCAGGCTGAGGGCAGGACATGCGAGGACTTCCAGGACGAGGACCACTACTCTGCCTCCCCCGATAGCTCCTTCAGCCCCTTTGACCGAGACCTGTCCACCACCTCCTCCTCCCTCTCCATTGACAGCCTCACCACGGAAGGTAAGGCCTGAGTCAGGGTGGGGACAGAGATTATCTCCTGGGATAGGAATTTCCCCATCGTTTTGCAAATAAGGGACCTGAAGCTCAAGGAGCTGAAGTCACTTGCTGGTGAGAAGCAGAGCCAGGTTTAGTACAAGTGGACTCCACTTCTGGGCTGTAACCAAGGTGCTGGCCTTCAGCAGGCTGTGGGATGCAGTTCACCGTGGAGAGGGGAGAAGTTAATGTCCCAGACCAGTGCCAGGTATTTTATATAACTTCATCTTCACAGAACCTGAGAGGTCACACACACGCAGTCCACACACGCAGACATGAAAGGATTGCCTGGTTTTTCTATAGCTTAACTTCACTTCTGACTCAGGAATTCCACCTCAGCTGTTCTGGTGCTTGGCTCCCTGCTCCTGTGGCCTTGGCCTTGGGCAGGCAGAGGGTCCAGGTGGGGCCGGGAGTCCTCCAGCTTGGGTTGGTGCCTATTCAGGCCTGGCCATCATAGGGGCTTCTCTGTTACCTCGAGGCCCGGGGGTCGTGGTTGAAGCTGCCAGAGGTTCATCAAATCTCTTCCCTTTCCCCTGCTCTCTCCAGGATCCTTCTGCTGTCTCTGAGGAATTCCTCTCTCTTGTCTTTTTTCAATACACTACATCTAGGTTTGAAAACCCATTCCCCTTAGGCTAAGACAAGGACTTGTGGGTTCTTTACAGCCCCTCCTGGGCTTTATCTGCTTGAAAGGAATAATGGAAAGAAGAAAAAAGCTCATATTTTAAAACATTATTCAGGGCCGGCCCGGTGGCGCACTGGAGAGTGTGCCCCTTGGGAGTGTGGCGGCGCTCCCGCCGAGGGTTCGGATCCCATGTGGAGACCGTTCCCGCTCACTGGCTGAGTGCGGTGCGGGCGCAACACCGAGGGTTGCGATCCCGATACCGGTCAGTAAAAAAGACAAAAAGGAAAAAAGATTAAAAAATAAAACATTATTCAGCTGCAATCCTACCTTATAGATAAGGAAATAGGCTTATAAGGAGCAAAGCAGTTTACTTAGGGTTACAGGAGGGGTAAGTGGTAGAATGTTCTTCTCATGGTGCCCCGCCTTTCTAAACATCACCTAGAGAACCAGAGCAGACACCCATGGATCTGGAGGGCGGTCGTGGAGGAAAACAAACAAATGATAGGAAGAGCTAACATTTTGGGGGGATTGACCATGTGCCAGGTAGGGTGGTAATGTCACGCCCAAATTAATGTTCAGTCCTCCTGACAATCCTGGGTGTTGATACTGTTATATTCCCATTTTATAGAGTTGATGCTAAGGCTCAGGGGGGTAGATGTCTTGCCCAGGGTCACACAGCCAGGAAGAGATGGAGTCAGGTCTCATCCAGCTCCAAAAGTAATGATCTTTCCCCTCAACTCCAGTCTTTCTTGGTGCTGAAAGAAATGGAAAAGGGGCAGGACAAGACAGCAAAGGGTGATCACACGAGGCGGGTTCAGCCGGCTCCCATTACTCTGAAATTGTCCGGGACCCTAATCCCAGCCTTGCAGGGGTTTTTCAGGGGTGAGACTTTTTTTGGTGGGGGTTGGGACTTTTGAGGGAGGAGTAGAGTAGGGAAGGAAGGGCGTCGCCTACAGAAGGAACAGTATGCACAGCAGCTCAGAGGTATCGCAGCCCAGGGGGTCTGGAGAGCCTTGAGCAGCTTGTCTCGGCCACTGCCACGGTGATGAGTTGTGGTGGGTGACAGGAGGAAAGAAGATTGGGGACAGATTGGGGACAGATTCACTGGAACACTTGTGAACAAAGGGGAGCCAGTAAAGGCCTTTAAAATGACGTGGCTGATGGAGATGCTGGAGAGAAGAGGGACCAAATGCGTGTTGCAGGCGGTGAATTGTGGAGTGTTTAGATTGTTTAAAGTTCCGGTGCTCAGAGCAATCATCTTCAGCCATCTAGAGCATTCCCTGGACATGGAACTCTTGCTTTTCTTTCCATATATGAATCTGCACAGGAAAGGCCCACAGAAGGGCCACCCACTGGAACTCAATTAGAAAGCTGCAGGGTACACGCCTTGAGGTGCAGAGAAAGAATGTGTTGAAATCTCTCCTCTGCGCTGTAGTCCTGGGGAGTCTCCGATCCAATTTGATCTTGTGACACACACAGCCCCTATTCACACCCTTCCACAGCTTTCCGTTGCCCCTGAAACAACGTGCAAGGTCTTCAGCTTGGCTCTCCAGGCAGCTGTCCCCCAGCCCCTCAGCCTCACGCCTCTTCACCCCCTACTCACATACTCTCCACCCTGTAGCTACACTGAACTGCGGTGTGACTTTGAGCAAGTCACCTCCCCTCTCTGTGCTTCAGCGTCCTTGCCTCTAAACTAAACGTTTGAACTGAACTTCCCTAAAGTCCCATCCAGACCCAGAATGCAAAGGCCATAGTGAGTCCACTAATCTTGTTCCTTCTGTCCTCTCTCTTTGAAGATGACACCAAGTTGAATCCCTATGCAGGAGAAGACGGTAAGTACAGAACTGCCTGCCCCTCTTCATCAGACCCCCTGCCTCTTGGACCCACCCCAGAAGAGGGTGCAGCAGTCACCCGGCCTCTCTTTGTGGAGGAAGAGGGAGGAACGTCGTCAGCCGGAGCGTCCCAGACCTCCTGCCGGGGGGGAAGGGAGGCTTGTGGGCACAGGCCCCCTAGATTGAAGGAACATGTCTACACCCAGACATTCCTCCTCTCAGCCATGAACCTCCTGTGGTTCTTCTCCTGCCTCTCTGCTCCTGGATATTCCCTGCTCTGCAAGGAGTGGGAGGAGGGGAAGGGCCGAGCCAGGGCAGGCGTGGCGGGTGGGACCTGTGGCCGTCTCACCCCCGTGGGCCATACAGCCAGTGGGGTGGAGAGCAGCTTCTCTCACGTCGTCTCCTTCCATTCTCAGCCTGGATTGGCAGAGAGTACACAAAACTTGTCCACTGCAGTTTTTGCAGGTGCCAGAATGTGGGATCCCTCCCTCGCCTCACAGGTGTTGGAGGGTGGCCCCACTAGCAGCTTCTCTCACGTCGTCTCCTTCCATTCTCAGCCTGGATTGGCAGAGAGTACACAAAAGTTGTCCACTGCAGTTTTTGCAGGTGCCAGAATGTGGGATCCCTCCCTCGCCTCACAGGTGTTGGAGGGTGGCCCCACTTCCCCTAACCTTTGCCCAGAGCCCACTCAGGTCCCTGCTGTAACCACTGCAAGAGTGGAGACGGAAGTGCCTTCCAACTCCAGCGGCTGGAGATTGTTATCTGGGGTTCTAGTGGGAGAGGAGAGGTTATTAAGGCCGCACAGTTTGATCGCGCTGCCCATGGGAGATGGAGCAGTTGCTCCCCCGTAGGCGGCGGGTGTGAGTGTGTGTGCGTGGGGGGGGGCTGGGCCATATTCCCCAATCTCTGCACCATGTGCTCCTCCGCAGAAGCCCTGACCAGCAGATCATCAGCGTCGCTGCTGGCTGATTGCCAACAGGTCAGGGGAGGCTGGCTCAGGGCGCTTCACCTCAACTCTCCCGCTGCTGTCACGTAGGGGCACTAGCCATGCACTGGAGTGCCCCAGGGTAGTTTCTCTCTTGGGTGTCTTCTGCTTACAGTGTGCCCAGCAGAGACAAGGGGATGGGGAGGACGATGGTTTTTAATGTGTGCAGCGTCCTAGTAAAACCCCACCCTCTGTTGCCTCCCACCCCACACTAGCTGTGTAATGTTGCCCAGCCACTAGCTGTGTAAAAAGGATTTGATATTTCTGTTGCTGACACACT